TATTGCCAATAACTCCAGACTTATTGATAATAACCTCTTATGTTTGGTACCGTTGGAAAGCAAATTTAATTTTCTATCATATAAAAAAAAGATCAGTGTTCTACGATAAATAGTTATCGAGAAAATTTGTGATAAAATCAAAAGTATGGAAAATATAAATCCGACTATAACTTCAAAACTATTAGGAATTTTGCAGTTTTTTTGACGCCAATCGATTCCCCGGAACATTTTACATAGGCTTAGGTCAAAATATTAAATCATTGAGGCACAGTTTTGCCGCAATTTACAAAACAAAAATAAGTAAAAAATTTGTAATTTTTTAAACTTGACCCAATAACGTTTTATGCACTTTTTTGAGTCTTTAAGATTTCTAGAAACGTAAAAAATGTTATATTAGTCAATTTTAATGTTGAACTTTTTTTTTGAGTGCAACGAAAGCGAATTTTGTGTCATTTTTGACGTAATTTTGTCATTATTTTTGACTATTTTAAGAATAGTGTCTTTGTCAGGTTGGTATCACTAATTGTCAAATTTAAGTAAAGAAAAATTTGCAAAAATCGTTTGACAAAATTGTCAAAAAATTTTACTTCTAGTTACAGAAATAAATAAATAACAATTTAATTTTTTTTGTGGGAAAAAGGAAGAGAAAAACACTTTTTTCACGTTTTTGTATTTTTATTTTAACAACCAACATATTGTCTCCTTTTAAATAAATCAAGGGGTTTATCAGTGTCATAATACTGATTTGAGTGTTTTTGATTCGGTCCAAAAAACCAGACCCTGAGCGAAAAATGTGCGAAATGGCAGTGATTCATAATAACTCAGCGTTTTTCTAATTAATTGACTCGACACTAGCCTACGAATAAAATTAATAACAAATCTATTATAATAATCATAATAAAAGAGCAACTTTTCGCACTACAATCAAAAAGATCACTTCTTTTTTTTTGATTGAACAAACAGGAAGATCGCGATTTGTAAAAATTGTCTAAAAATGCGTTTCTAGTCGATCTTTTTCCCGTTTTGGTGGTGATTGGTGGTGGTGGTAATGCGTTGGTAGGTGTTGCCTTGACCACAGCCCATGTCCATGCCGAAAAAAACTTGACTGCCCTTTTCTATGTAGGCTTTCACGTAGAAATTACCGAAAAGGACAATAAAGGACAACATGTAGATGATGAGGGTGTAGTGCATCCATAGGGGGAAGTCGCAACCCGTTCGAATGCCGTTTATACCCAAAATCAAGGCACAAGTGAACTGGATCTGAAAAAAAAATTAAAAAATCCGGTGAAAAACAACCCACAATTCAAAAAAATGGGCCCTAGTTGAAACAAGTTTACTTTTTACTTCAAAATTTTGAAAAAATTCTGTAAAAAACGGCCTAACATTAAAAAAAAGCTTGGCTTGAGACATTTATTCCTTTTTTTCTAGGTGATACCAAAATTTTTAGAAAAAATTTGGTAAAAAAACGATCCAAAATCTAAAAAAATTGGCATAAATTGAAGCATTTTTACTTTTTTTATGTTGGAATACAAAATTTTGTAAAAATTCAATGAATAAACGACCAAAAATTAAAAAATTGAGATAATTTAGAAAATCTTCCCTTTTTAGGTGGTACTACAAAATTTTGAAAAAAATCGGTAAAAACTCGATCTAAAATCCAATAAATTGGATCAAACTGAAACAATTTTACTTTTTTCTAAAAATAAGCTCAAATTGAAGTATTTACTCCTTTTTGAGGTAGTACTACAATATTTTGAAACAATTCGGTAAAAAAATGACTTAAAATTTAAAAAATGGGCCCAAATTGAACTTTTTTTTTACTACAAAATTGTAAAAAAAAATCGCTAAAAAACGACTCAAAATTTAAAAAATGGGCTTTAGTTGGGACAATTTCACTTTCTTAGGTGGTACTACAAAATTCGTTGGAGAAAAGAACCCAAAATTAAAAAAAAAATGAGTTTCAATTGAGACTTATTTCAAAATGGTACCGTAGTAGTAAATTTAAAAAAAAATCGGAATAAAAAAGACTTAAAATCCAAAAATAGGCTCAAATTGAAACAATTTTACTTTTCTTTAAATTGGAATACCAATTAGAATTTTGAATGAATTCCGAGGAAAAACAACCAAAAATTAAAAAATAATGAGCTCAGATTTACTCATTTACTCCTTTTTTAAGTGATACTACAAAATTTTAAATTCAGTGAAAAAGCGACTCTAAATCTAAAAAAATTGACTCACATTAAAGCATTTTTACTTTTTTTAAAGTGGTACTACCAAATTCTGAAAAAAAATTAATGAGCGGTCTAAAATTCAAAAAAGTGGCCTCAAATTGAAGTATTTACTCTTTTGTTAGGTGATACTAAAAGTTTTTGAAAACATTTCGTAAGAAAACGACAAAAAATTAATAAAATTGCCCAAATTGAGACAAATTTATTTTTTAGGTCGTACTACAAAATTCGTTGGAAAAAAGCAATAATTCAAAAATGGGCTTAAATTAACATTGTCAGTTTTTTTTAAGTGGTACTAATAAATTTTGAAACATTTTGGTTAAAAAACGACCGAAAATTCAAAAAAATTGGCTCAAATCGAAACATTTTTACTGTTTTTAGGTGGTACTACTAAATTTTGTAGGAAAAAAGACCCAAAATTAAAAAAAAAAAAACTCAGATTGAGACATTTATTCCTTTTTGAGGTAATACTATAAAATTTTGAAAAAAAAATCGGTGAATAAACGACCCAAAAATTGGCTTAAATTGAGACAATTTTACTTTTTTGGTTTTAAGTTGGAACACCAAATTTTGAAAAAATTTCGTAAAAAAAATCAAAAATAATAATTGACCAAATTGAGATAATTTTACTATAATTCAAAAATGGGCTTAAATGAAAAATTTTTCATTTTTTTAAAGTGGAACTACTAAAACATTTCGGTTAAAAACGACCAAATTTTCAAAAAAAAATTTACGGTTTGTAGGTGGTACTACTAAATTTTGAAAAAATTTGTTGAAAAAAACGACCCAAAATTAAAAAAAATAAGCTCAGATTGAGATATTTAGGCACTCCCTTTTTAAGTACTATAAAATTTTGCAAAAATGAGTTTAAATTTAGACATTTTTAGTTTTTTTATAGTATTACTATATTTTGAAGGTACCACTTGATACCCACTTTATTTTAACAAAAAAAATTGAAAAATCTCGATAAAAATGAAAAACTAAAAAAATTCAGTTAAAACAACATTTTGCTAGTTTTAAGGTGGTACCGGCTCATTATTTTCACAAAAACGGGATAATTCAAGTGAGAAATTATCATGTTTTACCAAAAAAATTTAACAATTTAACAACTTAAAAAATTGCGGTTAAAATTATAGTTTTTAAGGTGGTACCGGCTTGATTGTAAAAATTTATAATCACACAAAGCCATTTTTAACATTTCTAAAGTCGTACCATCAAATTTAAAAACAATAAAAACATTTGTTGGTGTTTTTCTGTGTGGTACCGGTTTTGTTTAAGAACCATTATTTTATTTGTCACAATGTATCGCAATTAATAACAAATTTCACGTTTTATACGAAGTGGTTCTCCTCCAAATCGAAGTGGTACTATTATCAGTACCACTAATTTAATTACTTTGCAATTTTCTGATACAATTAAATTTTCATCATGACAAAAATATGTAACCAAAAATTAAAAAAACTAATTTTAGCAGTTTTTCAAGTAGTACCACATTACTATAATTATCTGTGTAATTTAGTACCACCAAATTTGTAAATAACCAATTACAGTGAAAGTGAAATGCGTTCATAATTACCCGATAAGTGGTACCGCTAGGAAATAAAGTGTAAAGTGGTACCACAAAAATAATTTCGTGCAAAAACGGTACCATCATTGACACCAATCTAACCCGGCCGAAAAATCGGTCAATTTCCATCCTAGTACCCAGCGGTACCAACAAAAGAAATTGAGGTCTTGAACAAATTGCATCTCAATTTAGTATGTCAATAAACTCCAAGACATCGAAAGTACTTTTGGCACACTTACCATCTGAAGAATGGTTAGGTACTTCTTCCACCATAGGTACCTCGCGATATGGGGCCCCAAGGCCGCGAGACCATAATACGAATACATCAGGACGTGAATGGCCGAATTTACCATCGCTGGTAGGAACGCTACAAAAAAAAATTCAAAAAAGTGGTACCAAAATTTCGAAAAAGTACTTGAACCACTCGGTACCCATTTGATGCCGATCCACCACAAGGAAAACATGGTTGAGTGGTGGTAGACGTGCAGGAAAGTCAATTGTCGGTCTTTTTTTCGCAAAATGAAGAAGAAAGTGTCACAGAATTCCAATAATTTCGAAAAATAGTACCACCAAACAGCGTTGGCGATTTGGAGTTCGTCAGGGTGGTACCTCTGACGACATGGTTCACAAATGTAACTGTACCTGAGTCGGGTCGAAGCAGTGAGAAGCTTAAATCAAAATTTTGAGTGGTACCACCAGTGGTACCAATGGTACTCACCTGTATGGCTATATAGGCGTTCAAAGCCGCCATTGTTAAATTATAAGGTATTAAAAGCCACGTCAGCCGAAATGGTTTTCGATTTTTCATCAATTTTGGACCTATCCATACTATAAAAAGGTAAATTAGAGTGTAGAGGAGAGTGGGGCCGGGTGAGTCGACCAAAGGCCATCCTTTGGTTCGTGAATCTGTCAAAAATTGTCAAAAATTGTCAATTAGTGTCCCTTGGTACTCACCAGAGAGCGATAATGTCCATTCGTAATAATCGTAAATTTTTATTAAAGTCGTTTGGTTTATGAAATTTACCATTTTTGTTGGCTTGTTTTTAATTTCTGAAACAAAGTAGTTCAATGGTACTTGTGGTAAATGAAACGTCAGCTGCTGATTAAGGAAGTTTTATCAAATGTGTTGCGACAATTTCACTTTTATGGCGGGAAAAAATAGGTCTTGATGTACTTGAAACAGCTTGGTTGAGTTGCTTTTGTTTCAATCAAGTGGTACCCCGGTGGTACCGGAATTTCAAAATGTCATTCATCTTAAAGAAAAATAAAATCGTGTTGCAATGCTTATAAAATTAATTAAGTATTTTCAAAAATTGTCAAATGGTTCTCAAAAAATGTCAAAATTACGTCAAATTGACTAAATTTGTGCAATATTTTGAAGCAAAGGTCCTAAAATATGCCTTAAAAATGTTGTATTTCCATTAATATTTTGTCAAAAATGTCTTCTTTTCAGGTTTTTGTTAGTTACGAATATAAAAACTGTCAAATTTAATACTCCGGTACTACCAAAATTTTAAATTTTTATTTAAAAAAATGCAAATCATGTCGTGACAGTAAACACGTTAAAAAATTAATAAAGTATTATCAAAAATTGTCAAATGATTCTCAAAAAGTGTGACAGGAACATTTTGTTATCTAAAATTGTCAAATTGACAAAGTTTGTGCAATATTTTTGATATTTCTTACAAATACTTTTAATTTAAGTTAAACAAAAGTCACAAAATATGCCTTAAAAATCTTAATTTTTTTTTAATATTTTGTGAAAATCCTTTCTTTTTAAACTTTTGTTGGTTACAAACCTAAAAATTGTTAAATTAACTACTGCGGTAGTACCAAAATTTAAAATTTTTGTTAAAAAAATTAAATCATGTAATGTAAGTAAAACACGTTAAAACATTAACAAAAGTGTTTTAAAAAATTGTCAAATAATTCGTAAAAAACGTCAAAATGACAAAAAAGTCAAAACTTTAAATCCAAAATTGTCAAAATAAAATAAAATCATGTCGTAACGTTAACCACGTTAAAAAAGTAACAAAAGTATTTTCAAAAATTGTCAAATGGTTCTCAAAAAGTGTCAAAATTACACAAAAATTGTCAAATTGACTAAATGTGTGCAATATTTTGAAGCAAATGTTGTATTTTCTTTAATATTTTGGCGAAAATTCCTTCTTTTCAGATTCTTGTTGGTTACGAATCTAAAAACTGTCAAATTAACTACTCCGGTAGTACCGAAATTTTAAATTTTTGTTTAAAAAATGTAAATCATGTCGTGACATTAAACACGTTAAAAAATTAATAAAGTATTTTCAAAAATTGTCAAATGATTCTCAAAAAGTGTCAAAAGAACACTTTGTTATTCAAAATTGTCAAATTGACAAAGTTTGTGCAATATTTTTGATATTTCTTACAAGTACTTTTAATTTAAGTTAAACTCGGAAACAAAAGTCACAAAATATGTCTTAAAAATCTTGTTTTTTTAATATTTTGTCAAATCCCTTCTTTTTAAACTTTTGTTGGTTACAAACCTAAAAATTGTTAAATTAACTACTGCGGTAGTACCAAAATCTAAAATTTTTCTTAAAAAAATTAAATCATGTAACGTAAGTAAAACAAGTTAAAACATTAACAAAAGTGTTTTAAAAAATTGTGTAAGTGATTCGTAAAAAACGTCAAAACCTTAAATCCAAAATTATCAAAATTAAATAAAATCATGTCGTAACGTTAAACACGTTAAAAAAGTAACAAAAGTATTTTGAAAAATTATCAAATGGTTCTTAAAAAATGTCAAAATAACATAAAGAAGTCAAAATTTGAAATCCAAAATTGTCAAATTGACAAAATCTTGATAAATATATAGTATAGTAACAAGATTATGGTACTTTATACAACCTAAAAATTGTCTATTGTATTTTAAAAATTGTTAAAACTTATAAAATAAAAAATCTAAAAAAAATCGTTTGTAATTTATTCAAAAATAGTCAAATTGTACTTCGAAAATTGTTAAAACATTAATATTTAGATAATTGTAAAATCAAAAATTGTCATATAATCTCCTAAATCTAAAAACTGTCAATTATGAACTAATGTATTTTGAAAAATTGTCAAAAGTCGTTAAAAGCAGACAAAGTCAAAGCTACATTTTCTAAAACTGATAAATATTGCCTCCTACAAATTCAAAAATTGTCAATTATATGGTTATTTATGAATTTATAATGTAAAATCTACTGTAAAAAGTTGTCAAACACTGTGTAGTAAGTACAAGATTATAGTACTTTATGCACCCTAAAAATTGTCATATTGTATTTGAAAAATTCTTTTACGTTATATAAAATTAATTTATTCTATCTTTTACCAATGCAAAGATAGTCAAACTGTTTTTCGAAATTTGTCAAGTTTAAATTTGGTTAATTAAAAAATCAAAAATTGTCATATAGTCTTCTAGGAAAAAAAGAAATTCTTTGTGCTAGTCTTTTTAAAATCCAAAAATATTCAAACTGTATTTTGAAAATTGTTAAAACCTTAATATTTGGCTAATTATAAAATCAAAAATTGTCACAATTTCTTAAATACAAAAATTGTCAATTATGACCTAATGTTTTAAAAAAATTGTCATACTGATAAATATTTTTCTACAAATTCAAAAATTGACAATTATTTAGTTATTTATAAATCTAAAAATGTAAAATCTACCTTAAAAAGTTGTCAAACAAAATTATAGTAGTTTATGCACCCCAAAAATTGTCATATTGTATTTCAAAAATTGTTTTACGTTGTCTAAAATCTTTTACAAATCCAAAAATAGTCAAACCGTTTTTCGAAACTCGTAAAGTTTAAATTTGATTAATTAAACTAACCAAAATTGTCATATAGTCGCCTAGAATAGAAAAAAGTGTTTTATTCTTTGTGATAGTCTTTTTAAAATTCAAAAATATTCAAACTATACTGTAAATTGTAAAAACCTTAATATTTGGCTAGTTATAAAATCAAAACTTATCTCTTAAATCTAAAAATTGTCAATTATGACCTAATATTTTTGAAAAATTGTCAAAAACCGTTAAAAAACAGTCAAAGTGAAATCTACATTTTCAAAAACTGATAAATATTGTCTCTACAAATTTTAAAATTGTCAATTATTTAGATATTTATAAATCAAAAAATCTTAAAAAGTTGTCAAACACGATTATAGTACTTTTTACCCCTCAAAAATTGTCATATTGTATTTCAAAAATGTTTTTACGTTGTCTAAAACTTTTTACAAATCCAAAAATAGTCAAGCCGTTTTTCGAAACTAGTAAAGTTTAAATTTGATTAATTAGAAAACTCAAAAATGTCATATAGTCTCCTAGAACAGAAAAAAGTGTTTTATACTTTGTGCTAGTCTTTTTAAAATCCAAAAATTGTCAAATTGCGGCCAAAAATTGTTTAATTGTGACAAAAAATGTACAAAAACCTGCAGTTTTCATCTTTTCCCACTAATTTAGTCTTTTAAATAATTAAAAATTGTCAAGAATCGTAAAAATCCTCACCAGCAAACACTCAAATACTTGACTACGAATTGAACAATTTCGCGTCTTTCCATTGATAACCCCACTGGCACTAAATCACCGGCAAGCCCGTCTCGTATAATTATCAAAAAAAAAAAGTTGTAGAAAAAAACAAGTATACACTCCGGGTTATCCGATGTTACTGGTACGAACCGCGTGCCAGAAATGGTCGCATGGACAGCAAGTCTCGTTGTAAAAACCTCCAGTAATTTATTTCACTTATGCGAAAAAAATTAGAAAGAAGTGGCACGCACCTCGAGAGGAGGGGGGGAGTGGCCTCGGGCCCCCACGAGACAGTTCCGTTTTGTCGGTAAATCTCCAACGATGACTTTCTTCGGTGTAACAGTTTTCGTTGATGTATTATTTGGCCAAATTTCGCGAAATTGGGATTAATTAAATAATTAATTTTTGTAATTAAAGTGTTAGGTAACGAAGGTGGCTGGTTTTTTTCGATTTATTTAAAGGAAAGTTGATTGATGGGTGAAATTATGTAATTAAAAAATTGTAAGGGCATTAAACGTTTAATAACTCACTTTCACTTGAATAGATGTAGACTTATTCAATTATTCAAAATTTTTTTTGCAAGTGAGAGGAGAGTAAATCTAGCAAGTTCCGTTTTGCAGGTTTTTGCTCTTTATGTTGGTAACAATGGAGTATAATTTTCTCCTGTTTTGTGATATTTTTATTATTTAATCAAAATATTTTTTTGTCCAATTTGAGAATTTTTTGCTCATGTATTACATTTTTAAATTTTAATAATGCTAATTTTTTTATGGTGGTAAAAAATCATTAGTTTTTAAAATTTTTAGATCAAATATTTCATTTTTGAAATTTTGGTAGTCAAATTTTAACAATTTTTGGAACTTTAAATTCAAAGAATGTTTTTTATTCCATTAAACTCAGTTACCTTTTAATATTAATTTAACAATTCCTTGTGAGACAGTTTGACAAATTTTGAGAATCAATTTTTTGTTTTTCTTTGACACTTTTAATAATAACAACGGAATTTTTAATCATACATTTTTATTAATTCATTTTCAAATTTTGACAATTGTTTTTTAGCCTTTATTTCAGCAATTTTTGTTTGTACAAAGAACAACGCACATGAATTTAGGCAAATTTGGACATTTTTTCGTAGTCAAATTTGTATACATTTTAATTTTTTTATATTGTACAAATTAACAGTCGTTGATTTTGACAATGTTTGCATCATATATTAACAAAAAATATGACAATTGTTCTTAAAAACAACGACCAAAATTTCTTTTTTCTATTAGGCTTAGATACGTTTTTAATTAATTGGTTTAATTTCCAGTAAAAAATCGACAATTTTTGGAAATCAATTTTTAATTTTTTTATAACTTTTGACAATTTTTAATCATGCATTTTTAAGGTTTTTAAAAAACTTTATGACAGTTTAGGCTGTTTTGGTACATTTTACAACAATTTTTATTGTCAAATTTTGACAATTTTTAAAAATATTTGGTAATTTTTGTGAATACAAATAAGCATTTTGAGTGTTGGATTCTGGATTAGTGTATTAAAAGTTAAGAAAATAAAACATTAATAATTTTTAATGCAAAGATTGACAATTTTTGAGAATTTATTCATTTTTGACGTTTTTAGCCTTTATTTTAGCAATTTTTGTTTGTATGAAGAACAACGCACGTAAATTTAAGCTAACTAATTTGGACTTTTCCGTAGTCAAATTTTTATACTTTTTTATTTTTTTATATTGTAAAAAATCAAATCAACCGTGGTTGATTTTGACAATTTTTGAATCTTGTTATAATAAAAAAATTGACAATTGTTCTTAAAAACAACGACCAAAAAATGTTTTTTCCATTGATTTAATTTCCAGTGAAAAAAATCGACAATTTTTGAAATTATTTTTATAACCTTTGACAATTTTTATTCATGCATTTTCAAGGTGTATAATCACACAATTTATAGTTTGATACATTTTACAAAAGAAAATATTATTTGTAGTTTTGACAATTTTTAAATTCTGAATTAGAAAAATTATCATTCAAAAAAATAAGGATTTTTAATTCAAAGCTTTGTTAAATCTTGACAATTTTTGAAAAATTGTGAGTAGTTGGAGTATCAATTTGGTAGATTCTCAATATAATTTTGACAATTTTTGGATTTTCAAAGAGCAAGCAAGCGTTCATTTGCAGTAATTTCAAATTTACACAAATTTTGACATTTTTTTATTTGACAACAACTAGAATGTCTAATTTACAAAACGTTTTTAACAATTTTTTAAAAACTGTTAACGAACATGACTTTTATTTTATAATATTAGTCCCTCGTAAATCTCAAAATTGTCTAATAGTCAAAACCAAAAAATTGACCGACAGTATAGAAAAAAAACAAGATCTGGCTAAATTTTTGCAAGCAATTTGTTTTTGAACTCTGAATTAGAAAAAAAATAAGATTTTTAATTCAAAGCTTTGTTAAATTTTGACAATATTTGAAAAATTGTGAGTAGGAATATCAATTTGATAGATTTAAAAAATACATCAACATTATTTTGACAATTTTTGGATTTTGAAAGAGCAGTAATCTCAAATTTACATAAATTTTGACATTTTTTTATTTGACAACAACAACAATGTCTAATTTCCAAAATATTTCTAACAATTTTATAAAAACTGTTAAAGAACATGACTTGTATTTTATAATATTAGTCCCTCGTAAACCACAAAATTGTCAAATAGTCAAAAACAAAAAAAAATACCATCAGAATTTGTTTAAATTTTTGCGACCAATTTGGAAAGTCGTTAGATTTGGTGACCCCACAATTCCCTCGTCTAGGTCACCATCAAGCCTAAGGTAAACGAAACGTGTTACACACTCTTCAGTGATCAAAGCTCGTAACTTTCTCGTCGCATCTCACACAACAATAAACCGAAATTCCAACAAGTCGGTAGTGGAAGTAGCGCAAATTTCCAATCGATTTCGCTCGCGATTTATCCCCGAAAAGAGCTCTTCTTCAACAGTGAAACGTCATAAAATGGTACATGCCATTCAATTTCTAGCACTCGGTGAAAATAAAACAAACACAAGAGTGACATTGACAAGCCAATGAACTTTCTAATAAAATCCAACAACTTATCATAATTTCTAATTTTACTATTTGTGTTATTTATTTATTTTTTTTTTTGATTATTTATGGTATTACCTCGTGTTTGTTATGGGTAATGGATCGATGGTAGCGTCGCATTGCCACAAATATGGGTCATGGGTGATTTTTTCAACCCTAACCTTTCCCAATTACCCCCAAAACACACCCTCTCTACCACGAGTTCACATCCAGACTGGCGAAACCGGGATTCGTGACCGAAAAATCGATCCAGGATGTGGGTGATGGAGGCGCGGCCTACTTCGACATTTTACTCCTTTAATTTTTTTTTAATTAAATCCCAAATTTATGGAATTAAATATACACGTGTTTATTTAAGTGTGTCAACTAGTACCAACCTTGAACCAATTTAATTAATTTAGTTTCAAATGATAAAAAATTGAAACGCCCCCAAGAGTTATGCAACTTTATATACACGCATGTGTGTATGTATGCCGACTATTACCAACCTTGGGAAATTGCAATGAAGCGCGTAATTCAAATCTGGCGATTTCGAACGTGAATATCTCGAAAAGTATGCGACGTAGGTGAAAATCGACTATGTCAAAAAAGATGCGCAATAAAAAGTTCTATCGAATGGTTTAGTCGAATTTGAGTTTGGCGATGGTCATTTTCGTATCTCGCTTAGGAAAAACAAAATACCTACCTCATTTTATATTTTTAAAATCTATACGTTTTTCTGAGATGTAGGAGGGGTGACACGATAGGGTTATTTTTATTTTTAAAAACCCACCCCTAAAATGTTTTTTCCACAATGCAATTTGTTTTACGTCATATAGTAGGGTTATGAATGAAGACGATAATTCCATAATTTGAGATTTTTTGGTCGAGTGAAAACCGTGATTTTGAATTAATTTATGTCAGAGCAATTTTTTTTTAGGGTCGACTTTTTACTATTTGATTCTCGTGATTTTTCTGAGTCTTGTCAATTAATATTATAGGCTTAAAACAACTTTGATGATTCTAAAAATTGCGAAATTGATGAAATTTTGGCACGACCAAAAACTGCTAGCAAAAACGTTATATGGATGAATTTTAAGGTTAAAATTTTTTTTGATTTTCGTCGAAATTTTGGTCGATTTTTGGCACCCGGAGCGGTCTATTGCCAATAACTCCGGACTTATTGRTAATAACCTCTTATGTTTGGTACCGTTGGAAAGCAAATTTAATTTTCTATCATATAAAAAAAAGATCAGTGTTCTAGGATAAATAGTTATCGAGAAAATTTGTGATAAAGTCAAAAATATGGAAAATTTAAATCCGACCATAACTTCAAAACTATTAGGAATTTTGCAGTTTTTTTGACGTCAATCGATTCTCCGGAACATTTTACATAGGTTTAGGTCAAAGTATTATATCATTGAGGCACAGTTTTGCCGCAATTTACAAAACAAAAAAAAGTAAAAATTTGTTAACACCCCCCTTAAAATCTAGTGTTTTTGAACATGTCTCAGATTCGATTTAAATCTATCTTATCCGATAGATTTTGACGCGCTAATTACGAATTTACCAACCACATTGGGCTATCTCCTTTAGTTTCGCCGTAATCGGCGTTTAAAAATTCAAAWTTTTTTTGCGAGATATCGACTTGGCTTTGGCCTCAGTCGATAGATTTTCTTACGCTGATTACGATGGAGTTGGACTGATTGCTCTAAGTCTAATAGTTTGGCCGTAATCGCCGTTCAAAAAGTGAAAATTGTCAAAATTGTGAAACTTTAAACGCGTTTTTCTACGAAACTATAAGATTTAGAGCAAAGAGCTAAAAAMCATTAAAAGTAGCTTGAAATTATCTATTTATTGGCGCAAACCGGAAGTCGCTCCGGGTTATGGYTCCGGGTACAGAGCCATTTTTAGTTTTTTCAAAAAAAAATTCATATCTCAAAAACTATAAGTCTTAGGTCAACAGGGTTTGTACAGGCGTGTTCTCCGGTTAATTTTACATATAGTACTAGTTTTTCATAAGAATTAAAAATTTTTGATTTTTTTGTTAAAATATTTCTACCCTTCTTTTTGACTTTATTACTCAATATCTCAAAAACTATGCATCGTAGAGTATTTTAACTAGTTGCATCGTGTTCAGAGCGTAATTTTACGTCTAGAAAACCATATTTCAAGAATTTTAAGGTTTAAAAATTATGACAAGTTTTTTTTGACAAATCCAAAGTCATGTCAATCGACGAGATTTTTTACGATTCTCTCGAAGAAGACAACAACGAAGAAGTCTCCCCGATTCCAGATTTGAGTCAAACTGTTCCTCTCTACACTGGCGACATCCCAAAACAGCGAATCACACGTTACATCAATAGAAAAACCGAAAAATCCTCAAAACCGGTCCCAAACCCCCTCAAACCTCAAAAATCCTACTTGTCCATGTATTATGCACGAAAAAACCGGAAAATCAAAAACGGAAGTGTCACAAATCGAGCCGTTTGCGAAAATCTCTCACCGAAAAGAGAATCGGATTTGGACGCCGACTTGACAGGAATTCAAACGGAATTTTTCAGCCAATCAGAATCCGACGACGAGTAATTAATTAATCAATTAATTAATACTTACATTTAATTAAGGTTTTATGAGAATTTTATGGCGCTTGAAATAGAAAAAAAACCGGCTTCGTTATGCGACGAGGAGCAAAAAACCAAACTGTCAAATCGGTCAACGACGAGTGAAAAATCGTTTTTTGCAAAAAACGATAAAGTGTTAAAGGAAATTTACCCAAAATTTATTTTAATTGATTTTTTCCAGTTAGAACTTTGGAAAAAACGCCAAAGTTACGGCATGAAAATGACACTCAAAAATCGGATTAAAATACAAGAAGTGAATTCGCTTCGAAAAATCAAAAATTCGAAAAAAATCGACCGGTAATTTACAGAAATAAAAAAATTGAGTCCCGAATTGGCCATTTTTAACACATTTAGTGATTTTCCCCGGTCGTGCAAACCAAGAAAAAAATTGTGTCCCCAATAAAAATCATAAAATATCTGTATTGGGTTTTTAATAAAAAAAAATTTAATTGAAATTATGTCAATTGTGCCAAACCAAAATTTTGTATTCCTCCAATTTCCACAAATCGTTAGCAAAAAATTCGTACTCTTATGTAAATTTTGTTCCCATATTACCAAGATAATTTTTTGTGCCAACGCAGGTGCCAAATTTTTTTTTCGACAATTTTGTACCAATTCTGTGGTCATTTTTCGTGCAATTTTCTTTTGACAATTTTAAACCAATTATTTGGTTATTTTTCGTGCCAACGCAGGTGACAATTTTTTTTTAGAAAATTTAAGAAAAAATATATTAAAACAAAAAAAATTGTACACGGAGTTGGCAAAAAAAAAAACGTTTTTCTCGGCATTCTTTATACTCGTACCGTTTGTTTAAACTTTTATTGAAAAAAAAAAAAAACAGTGTAAAAGCTTATATTAAAATTCCCTTCGAAAAATAAAAAATTCGAAAAATCGACCGGTAATTTACAGAAATAAAAACATTGAGTCAAGAATTGGTCATTTTTAACACATTGGTGCAAACGAAAAAAAAAATTGTGTCCCCAATAAAAATCATAAAATATCTATATTGGGTTTTTAATAAAAAAAATCGTTACATAATCAAAATATACAAATAGTTCCTTAATTAGTAGTTTTTTTAATATTTTTAAATTGAAATTATTTCAATTGTGCCAATTGTCTAACCAAAATTTTGTATTCCTCCAATTTAGACAAATCGTTAACAAAATATTCGTACGCCTATGTAAATTTTGTTCCCACATTGGCAAGATAATTTTTTTGTGCCAACGCGGGTGACAAATTTTTTTTTCGACAATTTTGTACCAATTCTGTGGTCATTTTTCGTGCAATTTTTTTTAACAATTTTGAACCATTTATTTGATTATTTTTCGTGCCAACGCAGGTGACAATTTTTTTAGAAAATTTAAGAAAAAATATACTAAAACAAAAAAAATTGTACACGGAGTTGGCATTCTTTATACTCGTACCGTTTGTTTAACAAACTTTTATTAAAAAAAAAAAACAGTGTAAAAGTTTATATTAAAATTCCCTTCGAAAAATCAAAAATTCGAAAAAAATCAACCAATAATTTTCAGAAATAAAAAAATTGAGTCCCCGATTGATCAATTTTAATACATTTAGTGATTTTCCCCTGTGGTGCAAACGAAAAAAAAATGTAGTGTCCCCAATAGGCAATGAATAAAAAAAGTTGTCAAATTGCTAATATTTATTTAAATTGACATTAGACTTTTTAGTGTAAGTATAATTACAATAAATCGGTTCGTATAACTTATGAGACAAGAAAAACGGAATAATATTGTCACTATTTTAATATATAATTTTTAACAATATTCTAACCTATTTGAAAACAACATATTGCTTATGTATATATCTATCAACTTTCTGGAAGCAAGAAAACTGAGATTTAAGCCGTTTTGGTTTTTGTTTCAAGTCTTTGTTTCAAGTGGAATAAACTCCCTAAAATTTTCTAACCTAAAAACATCAATCGTTCCATTTGTTCGACGAGATCATGCATAGAATGACAAACATGTTAAAATCTCTTTTTTAGTGCAATAACACATTCAAACTTAACAAGCACAAAAATTCCTATATCTAAACAATGGAAAAAAAAACACTCAATACACCACATGACAGAAGCGATATATCATATATCGGGTATGTTAAAAGTGACCCTCTTTGAATTCTAGCCGGTCAACGTTGCCAAATCGCTGAGAAAACCTTCAGGTGTGAGAATATGCGACGACCCGAGTATAACCTCCCAATTCTTCACTGCATTTGTAACCTCATATGCACACCTCATTTCGGAAAAACACATCCCGCCAACGATGAAAACTAGTAGGCGTGGAACGTTTTTCACAGTTTGTTGGGTCTTGTCTTTGTGCCAGTGACCGTAGCGAGCACTGAAATTTTTTATTTTTTTTCGTGGCCTACGAAGGATACAAATTGCGATAATTTACCTTGTCGGGGCGTGATAAGCACTGGCTTGAGCTCGACCGGCCAAAAAGGGGAAATGTTTGTGGTCGAGTTTGTCCTCGATGCAGTCCTCCATTATGTCCTTGATGATGGGCGTCCATCTTGACATTTGGTAAGTCTGTTCGGTGATGCGCTCTTTGCGCGGGACGGTGTACGGCTTCTTGCGGTTGCCCTGGAGAGGAAAATTTTTTGTGCCAACGCGGGTAACAAATTTTTTTTTTTGGCAATTTTGTACTAATTATGTGGGGGTTTTACGCGCCAACGCGAGTGACAAATTTGACAATTTTGTACCAATTATGTGATTATTTTTCGTGCCAACGCGAGTGAGAAATTTGAGAAAGAAAATTAAAAAATTGTACAATCAGTTGGCAAAAAAAAGTTTTTTTCGGCATACTCGTACCGATTGTTTAACAATTTTTTTTAAAGAACAGTGTGAAAGTTTATATTAAAATTAGTAAAAAAACTGTTCCTTAAAACAAATAGTTCGTTAATTAGCAATAATTGATAAAATAACGTTTTTTAAAAATTTTTAAATTACTATTATTGATAATTTTTTGAGTCAATTGGGTAAACAAAATTTTCTATTCCTCAAATTTTGTTCCCACATTGACAAGATAATTTTTTTGTGCCAACGCAAGTGACAATTTTTTTTTTGTACGATTTTGTACCAATTCTGTGGTCATTTTTCCTGCCAACGCGCATGACAATTTTGTACCAACTATTTAGTTATTTTCATGCTAACGCAGATCACAATTTTTTTTGAGAAAATTTAAGAAAAAAATTGTACACTGAGTTGGCAAAAAAAAAAACGTTTCTTTCGGCATTCTTTGTACTCGTACCGATTGTTTTAATTGAGAATTTTCTGGCAATTATTTGGTTATTTTCCGTGCCAACGCAGGTGACAATTTTTTTTGAGAAAATTTAAGAGAAAATATACTAAAACAAAAAAAAAATGTACACGGTGTAAAAAAAAACGTTTTTTTCGACATTCTTTGTAGTCGTACCGATTTTTTAACAAACTTTTATTTAGAAAAAAAACAGTGTAAATATTTATATTAAAATTAATAAAAAAAATTGTTACAGTTGACAAAAAAAATATTATTATTATTAAATTTTTCACACAATAAATCATAAAATATCTGTATTGGGTTTTTAATAAAAAAAAAGTTACATCGAAATATACAAATAGTTCCTTAATTAGCAATAATTGATAAAATAACGTTTTTTTTTTATACTTTTAAATTGAAATTATTTCAATTTTTTGTGTCAATTATGTAACCAAAATTTTCTATTCCTTCAATTTACACAAATCGTTAGCAAAATTTTCGTACGCTTATGTAAATTTTGTTCCCACATTGATAAGATAAACATTTTTGTGCCAACTATGTAACCAAATTTAAGTAATTCAAGACCAAAATTACATAATAAATACTAAAAATTAGTTGAAATTCTCAATGAAACACTGAATTTGGTTCCACAAGAGACATGAAAAAATTTGGTTAGTTGACCTGATAATAAAAAACAGTTCCCTAGCTGGCGATGTTAAGTTTACTCGTGGTTTTAATAACTTTTTTTGAATAAAAGTAAAATGTTTGCTTCTTGAAGACAAAAAAGTCGTTAGATGTGTTAAATGTTAATATTAAAAAAAAAATAATTTCCTATAATTTTTTTGTGCCAATTATGTAACCAAATTTAACTAATTCAAGACCAAAATTACATAAAAAACACTAAAAATCAGTTAAAATTCTCAATAGAACACTGAATTTGGTTCCACAAGAGACATGAAAAAAATTTAGTTAGTTGATGCGATAATAAAAACAGTTCCTTGGTTAGCGATGTTAAGTTTATTCGTGGTTTTAATAATTTTTTTTTAATAAAAGTAAAATGTTTACTTCTTGAAGACAAAAAAGTCGTTAGACTTGTTAAAAGTTAAAGTTTTTAAAAATTGATTTCCTGTAATTTTTTTGTGTCAACTATGTAACCCATTTTAAGTAATTCAAAACCAAAATTACATAATAAATACTAAAAATCAGTTGACATTCTCATTAAAACACTAAATTTGGTTCCACAAAAGATGTGAAAAAAATTTAGTTTGTTGACGCGTTAATAAAAGCAGTTCCCAGGTTGGCAATGTTAAGTTTATTCGTGACTTTAATAACTTTTTTTAATAAAAGTAAAATGTTTGCTTCTTGAAGACAAAAAAGTCATTAAATTTATTAAAAGTTAATATTTTTAAAAATTGATTTCCTATAATTTTTTTGTGCCAACTATGTAACCAAATTTAAGTAATTCTGAACCAAAATTACATAATCAATTCTAAAAATCGATTAAAATTCTCGATAAAACGCTAAATTTGGTTCCACAAGCGGCATGAAAAAAATTTCGTTTGTTGACACAATAATAAAAACAGTTCCCCAATTGGCGATGTAAAGTTTAATCGTGGTTTTAATAACTTTTTTTTTAATAAAAGTAAAATGTTTGCTTCGTGAAGACAAAAAAGTCGTTAAATTTGTTTAAAGTAAATGTTTTTCAAAATTTTTTGTGCCAACTATGTAACGAAATTTAAGTAAATACTCAAAACATAATAACTCATAACAGTTTGTTAAAAATTTCAATAAAACACCAAATTTGGTTCCATAATAGAAATGAAAAAAAATTTGTTTACACAGTCGGCACTGAAAAGTCAAAACTTACGTCACTGATAACATTCACTCCCAGTAGTTGTAAATTAGAGATTGTTTGTTTATCTTTAATTTGGGCATGCGTGGCCAACTTGGATAAGTTTTCATCGGTGATACCATTTTTCGCCATTGCATACAATGCAATAATACGCATTTTATCGTACTCATTTGTTATTTTTGGATCTAATAAAATCGGAACGATATTTCTCATGTGATCTTTGATTTTTTCACCTTCAGCATCAGTTCCCATCGCCAAATCCTGTTCAACTTTACACAATTTATCAACATAGCCTTGATATGCCTTCATACAATCTTCAGCCAAATGTAAATGTGTTGCATATTTTGACAATTCTTTCTGATATTGTGGCATTTTTTTAATCATTTGTGACAGATCCTTCATCGATTGTTTATCACTCTGTGTCATACGTTTCGAATCGGTGAACTTCTTCAGGTTTTTGGTGACACTTTGTGATACGACGGCGATATGTTGGTGGCGTAACTCCACCCACAATTCGTCGTTTTCGTCCAATAGGACTTCTTTAACCACACCTTGTGACGCCTCATATCTACAAATGTCAAACGTGGCGCCAAATTCAAATTTTTACAATTTTATTTACTTGTAAACGTCGTTTTCGATCGGAAGAAGATCGTAAGCCATCGCTTGAAATGTCAATTCGTGCAAAAGTGGCGAAAAACAATCAAAACCACGATCGAGAATCAAAAGTTGTGAACGAGCCTTTTCGGGGCCTTCCCCCATTGTGGGCTCATCGGCCTTGTAAGCGTCGAGCTTCTGCTGGATGAGTTGCGCAAGCTCCACGTTGCGCTCCCAATCACTTGAAAAAAATTTTCACGACCAACGAAGGAAACAAATTTTTCTTTTGGCCAACTTGAGAACCGAAATTGGGCCCGGAGTTGGCTATCAAAAAAAATTTGGTTCCCGAGTTGGCCAAAAAAAAAAAAAATTTGGTTACCGAGTTGGCAAAAAAAATTTGGTTCCCGTGTTGGCAATGAAAAAAAATACCTGCGATATCTGACTGATGGATATTCGCCTAGAGTGGCGCACAACGTGGCTATCTGTTCGGCCATTCGTTCCATATTGGCATTTCGAGCGGCCGCAAAACTCGGATCGTAGAAACATTGAAAAGTATCAGGCGAATCGAGTGAAAAAACCTAAAATATATTCTTAAACATGTTTCTATAACCTAGTTAGCATGCATTTTAACAATTGACATATATCTACAAAACAAAAGCAATCTACCCAATCAACAATCAACACACCTGTGACTCATAGGGCAAGAAGGCAATGTTGATTTCTTTGAGTGTTTTAATTTTCTTAGCAGCGCAAGACTTACACAGTTCATTGAACAGTTCTTCGGGACAGACTTGACAAAAAAAGAAAGTTTTTGGTTTTATAATAAGAAAAAGACATATAGTTGACAGTTAATGTGTTAGTCGGAGACAACTTAAGCATTAAAGCGAGAAAAAAAATCATGTATGTATACCTGTTGTTCACACGGAATAAATGCCACGTTTATTTCTTTTAATGTTTTGATAAATTTGGCAACCCTGTGCCGCGCCAATTCGCTAAATAACGTATCAGGACACGCTGTAGGAGAAAAAATTAAGTATGTTGCCCCCTCCTAACAAACCACATATAACTCGAGAACGAGTTTTACCTTCGGTAAAGAACACATGAGCCCCCCTGTACATCGGACGAGGACCCTCAAAGTCGGCCATGAGGGAATGAACCGACTTCTCCGACGGTGTTATCAAATACACAGCCTCCATTGACGTCAAAGGCTCGCGTTTCTTGTGAATATCTTCGACGACTGAAAAAACAAAATTTAACCACTTTTTTACAAAAATTGAAAAATTACGTGTTATTCCTTCGGCTGAAATATCATGCATTTTGCAACAGGCGGACACCATCCTCATGGCCAATTGGTCCACCACGAGCACCCTCCATTCGATAGTGTGCGTCTGACCTGGACCGTTCTTCTTTTTTTCTTTTAGTTTCACCACTTCGTTCATTATCTCTGAAAATACGAATTTTCAATGCCAACGGAGGATATGAATTTATTTTTTAATAGTGGTTACTATGGAAACGATCAAATTTTTAGCATAGTTACCATAGAAACAGGCAAGATCGGGTGAAATCTTGCACAATTTTGGATTTGTGTCACAAGGTGGCAAAGAAAAATTAATTAATTAATTAAAGTGCATTTTGCGTAATTGCTAATTTTGTTGGGGTAGGTTCGACGCCGCCTGTGATATTGACATTTGTGACGTCATAAACACCCCACTCATGTTATGTGAAATAAATCGATAATTTGGAAAAAAATCGCAAAACTAATTATAAAAATAGGTCCAAAACGTGTAATTCCATTGGTTTTTATCCAAAATTGTGAATGTCCTAGTAAAAAAAGCGTTTTTTCGGGTTAATAATGAATCAGCTGTCAAAAGTTGACGAATTTTTGCAAAAAAAACAACACGAATCGACTTACTTAACCCGACTTGGGCTTTCAAGGCCATTTTTGCGTCGTCTGGTGGTGATTAATACACGAAAAACTTGTTAAAATTGGTTTTTTATCCAATTTTTTGATAACTGAAATGACACTTGGGATGACTCACACACCACGGCCTGGTAGACTGCGACGCCGCCATAAATAAACCACGGCCTCGGTTATTTACACAATTTTTCCCAATTAATCACCGACTTAATCATTAAAAACATAACTGTGTCAACTCATTTAACACTACCATACTTGTATTTGTAATTACTATTTTAATTACTAATAAATTAAGTGGCTTGAGTTATGCAACCAATTATACAACTGCTAGCAAATTTAAGCAATAAATTGTTTTCTGCTGACTATTGGTGCATAAAAACTTGTTAAAAGTATTTTTTGTGAATAATTAATTAATTAACCTTTGATACACCACGGCTTGTTAGACTACGACGTTGTCAAAAAGAAACCAAAGTCTTTCTTGTTAATGTTTTATATTTTGAAATAGAGTTTCTTAATTTTTAATTTTTACTTTTAAATTGTTTAAATAACCACCTAAATAATCCAAAACGTTAAATTGTACACAATTATTATGATCATTATCTCAATTATGTGTGTTGTGTATGCAACCAGTTATACATCCGCCATTTTGTCTTGGCGGGGGCTTTGATAAAATGTCCCTAAAAATCACCGATTTGTCTAGTTTGCAGTCTTTTTTGGCCTCAAAAGACAACACAGTTAACAATGTGTACATTTCGGACATCCCCCAAGTGTGTAAGGACTTCCCCTGTCTTCTTGGAATTGACGAAGCCGGTCGAGGACCAGTTTTAGGTTATGTCACACTTGTGTAAATTTTCACTCAAATAGCCCCCTTGTAGGCCCCATGGTGTACGGAACGGCCTTCTGCCCCCTCAACGAGGCCACCCTCCCCGATTCGTTGGGCTGTGCCGACTCCAAGGCCCTAACTGAGGAGTCACGTGACGAGATTTTTACAAAAATTTGCGAAAATCGTAAAATAGGCTGGGGGGTGGAGGTGATAGCCCCCACGAGCATTTGTAATAGTATGTTGAGTCGTCAGAAGTATTCCCTGAATCAGGTGTCAATGGACGCTGCGATTAATTTGATAAAAGGGGCGTTGGAGGCGGGAGTTAACGTGTCGCATGTTTATGTGGACACGGTGGGCCCCCCTGAGAAGTACCAAGCGTACTTGAAGGGGCTCTTCCCCCAATTGGGGGTCACTGTGGCCAAGAAGGCCGATTCGACGTACCCCATTGTCTCGGCGGCGAGTATTTGTGCGAAAGTGACTCGAGATCATGCGTTGAAGGTGTGGGCGTTTGGGGAGGAGTTGGAGGTGGGGCGAGAGGATTTTGGGAGTGGCTATCCCGGGGGTGGGTTTTGAATGTTTGAGACTGGGGAAAAAATGTTGATTTTGTAGATCCCAATACGAAGAAATTTCTGGTTCAGTGGCGGGATCCTGTCTTTGGGTACCCCCAATTGGTGAGGTTTAGTTGGGCCACGGCGAGTGAGGCACTCAAGGAGGCGTATCATGTCGATTGGGAGGAGAATGAGGACAGTGCCCCCATTGGGAACACTTCTATTACTGCGTTTTTTAAAATGACGAAAAATCATGCAGGGGCGAAGCCCCTGCATGATTTTTTCACATCACGGTGTCTAACTCGAAAAGTTGAATTTTGATTTTTTATTCCTTGTTTTTTGAAATTGCCATTTTTTTAAGCCGATCAAGGAAACAAATTTAAATTTAAAAATATAGTTTGTGTTTTTTATCATTAAAACGATTTTTAATTTCTAATTTTTTTTTCGGAGCCAACGAGGGAAACAAATTTAAATTTAAAAAATATGGCACAAAAATGCCAAAAATTCCAACTCCTTAGTTGTGAAAACTTTACCAAAATATTCATTCGGATTGTTCAAAATCACAATTTTGGTGTTTTTATTGAAACAACTTTCAAGTTTCACCAAATCAAAAATCCATTTTCCCGAATCCTGAATTGAAAAAAATTACCAAAAATTCGAATTTTGGCACATGCGTACCAAAGTCAAGGTCACAAACCTAACCACGCCCCCTACCATCTCAACCAAATTTTTATAACAAGGCAAAAAGGGCTCAAAAATCACAACCTCATCACCTACATCAACATGGCCATGGATGGAGACAAAAAGGGCCTCATGGGCACCCACAGTTGTCAAAATTTCATCCATTGGGTCGATTTCACGGCCCACAAATCGGGAATACAGACCTGCAAGGGCCGAGACGAGTCGCAAATGGCCCTAAAAAAAATTCATAAGGGCCCTAAAACGGCCCTGGACTTACATAGTCTCGGGTGTATTGGTGGTAAACATTGTCACTTTGGCAAACGTGGGCTAGGGTCTCCGTGAGGTGATTTGGGGGCCCAAAATCGGGAAGTACGGTCCTTAAGTCCCTAAAATGGTATTGAGAAAACCAAAAAACTGAATTTTTTTGAGTTTTATTACTCCATTGTGGCGGCCATGTTTGTGATAAGAGATAAGGAATTTATTCATATACAGAGTGGTTCAAAACATTTATTTGTACAAATACAGGGTGTTCAAAATTCGGGTGGTACCTCAATATATCGTACCCCCTCCTCGTCATTGATCAAATATTTCAAAGATGGCGATTTTTCGTCCCCATTTTGAATTTTTTTGATATTTTCGTCACTCAAAACCCAAGTTTTGTCGACAATGTCACTCGTCAAGGTCATTTGAGTGTCCTTGAAACAGAAATCTTGACACAAAATGTTTAAAAAGTCATCCGGTGTCAACTTTTGCAAGAAATCATTATTGAGGTCACACATTTCTTTGAGTGAAACCTCAAAATTGAAAATTTTGAATTTGGGACTCAAAATTGGGTTTTGAACGTCACTCAATTTTTGGAAATATTTCAGATTTGAGGGAAATTGAGGTTTGAGGTCGGTACTGATGATAAATTGGCGGGAAACGACAGTTTTGAGGAAGTTTGTGATTTTGAGGATTTGGTCGAGATGGTCGAAATTTTCGACTTTGAGTACCATTGGTACCAAACCCAGTCTCCATAATGCCAAGTAGATTTGATTTAAGGTTAGGTCACGTGATTCTGTTGACATTAAATCGAAAAATTCCGATTTGAGGTTATCGTTTTCGATTTTGTTTTTCTCGATTTTGACATTTTGACCTGGTTTAAGGTCAGTTTGGATCAATTTTTTGACAGTGAAATTGATTATCGAGTAGATTTTTTCAACGATATCTGGATTGTTCTTCACCATCACAATATCAAAATCCTTGATTGTCTCCACCCACAAATTTTCATCTTTTTCTTCAATTTTGACATCAGGAATAATGTGGAAAGGCTCCAATAAGAGTTCGCAAAGTTTGATCACAAAATCATTTTTAGTCAGTTTGAAATTGTGTTTTCTTCGTTCGTTTGTTTGAAAAAAAATTTTCACAAATTTCACCAAACAATCACAAACATCACAAACTTCCCCAAACTCATCTCTTATCATCTTTTTTATCGAAAACTCCAAACCGTTGATTTTTTTCTGATTGATAAAGATACGAAACTTGTCCAAATCTTGTTTCAACTTTTTATCACAATTTTCAACTTTTACAACAAAAGTATCATCGGGATCACCAGTGGTGTTGAAAAGACTTTTATGCTTCGATTGCGCAATCTTGAGTTTGCCTTCCTTCCAATCGAATTCTTCACTTTCTGATTGCCTTCTTCTAAGATCTTTATCTCCTGATTGCTGGGTCTTTAATTTTTTTGGAAGATTTGCACTTTCTGGAAGCTTGATTTCTGCTTTTCTTAGAAGATCTTTATTTTCTGGTTGCTTGGTCTTTCCTTTTCTTGGAAGATTTTCATTTTCTGAAAGCTTGATTTCTTCGTGATCTTTATCTTCTGATTGTTCAATCTGTTCTTTTTTTGAAAAATTTTTATTTTCTGATTCCTTGGTCTCTTTTTTTTCTCGAAGATCTTTATTTTCTGATTGTCCGATTTCTTCCTTTTTTGAAAGATTTTCATTTTCTGATTGTCTTATCTCCTCTTTTCGTGGAAGATCTTTATTTTCTGATTGCTTAGTCTTTCCTTTTCTTTGAAGATTTTCACTTTCTGAAAGCTCGATTTCTTCGTTTCTTCCAAGATCTTTATCTTCTGCTTGTCCAATATCTTCTTTTTTTGGAAAATCTTTATTTTCTGATTTCTTGGTCTCTTCTTTTCCTGGAAGATCTTCATTTACTGATTGTCCGACTTCTTCCTTTTTTGAAAGGTCTTTATTTTCTGATTGTCTTATATCTTCTTTTTGTGAAAGATCTTTATTTTCTGATTGCTTGGTCTTTCCCTTTCTTGGAAGATCTTCATTTTCTGAAAGCTTGATTTCTTCTTTTCTTAGATCTTCTGATTGTTCAATTTCTTCTTTTTTTGGAAGATCTTTAATTTCTGATTTGTTGGTCTTTTCTTTTCCTGGGAGATCTTCATTTTCTTCCTTTCTTGAAACATCTTTATTTTCTGATTCTATGATCTTTTCTTTTCTTGGAAGATCATTGTTTTCTGATTGTTCAACCTCCTCTTTGCTTTTTTTCAACTCAAATTCGACACTTTCACTTGAGAAAAAGCTCACAGTGAAGAGCTTAAAAGCCACTTTTTCGTACTCTTTCTTCTCGCGTAGTTTTTTCAACACTTGACATTGCTCCTTGATACTAAATATGCCACTTTCCGCACTCAAAGTCTCTGTTGTGATAGAATTTCTAGTTTGGGTTTTTTTGCATTGCAAAGCATGGATTTCTGACGCTGTTTCAAAGACAATATCGCCGAATTTGTCCCATTTTTCGTCATTTAATGAAATTTTGAAGTTTTTATTTCCGTTTTCGAGGGAAAAACGAAGAGCATAAAACACAGTCAACATGTTGAAATAGAGTTGATGTGCTTCTGGGAAGGCAACATCGGCTCGGATTAAATAAGTTTCACGGATTTTTGACTTTTCCTCAAATTTTTCAGGTGGTTTGAGTTTGGAAACGGCGTTTTTGTGTTCGAGAGTTTTCTTGTGTTTTTTTAATTGACATTTGAGGTATTTTTCACCACATGTTTTGCACTTGTCTTCTCCTTTTTTGCGTTTTTCAGCCTCCAAATGTTTTTCACTTTTTTTGTGCTCTTTCGAGTTTTTTATCAGGAATTTTTCTTCGCATATTTTACACACTATTTCTTTGTTTTCCATTTCTTCTTTTCTTTTTTTGTGTTCGGCAGAGGTTGAATGTGTGGCGAAATCGTTTCTAGGAAACGACAAACTACAAGTTCTGCATTTCTTTTTTTCGTTTTTTTTTTCATTATTTCCCTGAAAAAAAAATTGAAATGAACAAGAGGTGAAACAAAAATAATTAAAACAAAAAAATTGAAAAACATAAAAATACAAAAAATGAATCAAACTAGGAATGAAAAAATCTCAAAAAAGAGCATATTAAAAATTAAGCAAACAATAAAAAAATAAATGAACAAGTTGACTTAAAACGTAAAAAAATAAAAAAGAGTCGAGTAAAGACAAAAGTATAAAAACGAAAAAGTAAAAGCAAAAAAGGAAATAGTAGAAGCACATAAAGGAAAAACTGTAAATAAAAGGTAAAAAATAAAATGAAACAAATGTAAACTTAGTAACCTAGAAAATAAGAAAAAGTTAAATAAAGTCGAAAGTAGAAAAAATTAATAAAAATCAAAAGAA